CTGAGGCTCTAAACAATCAATTCGAGCTTACCTCAAAATTTTTATTAGAAGAGGTTGTTTTGATGCCCAAATGTCTTCAAATTGATCATCTCAACATCAAGATGCATGAACATGAGAAAAAAATTGGATTTCAAGTTTTGGAAATAGTGTACTTTGGAACACATTTTTGTATAGTCAATTTTAAAGATTTTCAAATTTTCATAGTTCTCTCGATCTACATTATTTTTTAAGCTTTAAACTTTATAAATAAAGATGAAAATATATTTTAAAGCTGGCAAAAAGATTTTCAAAGCTGAAACCACATTTCTCGACACTATTACTATTTGAAGGTAGGCTCTAATTTGATTGTTTAGAGCCTAGAATCTATACAAACCGCACCATATGTATATATAAAAACCATTACTCAATCAAATTTTTGAAGACATATTTGCCCCGTTGATATTTTTTTGAGGAGAATAGCTTCTATAAGCTATAGGGTTTACTGTTAAAGTATAAGCTGATCTCCAAAACACATAGCCGGAGAGATTTATGTAGGTTTAAATTTTTCACATAGTTGATTTGAAAGAAAATAATTAAAGAAATATTTTTTTGTTCTTGAAGGGTCAAATTCACCGTCCACCAAATGGATGTTTTGCATTCATCAAATATGGCATATTTTCCATTTTTATGTGAATTTATCTTTTTCTTATCTTTCTATTTTGATGGGTAAAAAACTTTTTAACATTTTAAAGTTATCATCATCATTCTCATTTTAGCTTTTTTCCAATTATTTAGGTTCGGCTACATGAATCATGGTTCTCCATTCTGTTCTATTAAAAGCGTTGGTGAAGCCACAAGTCCCCATATCTTTTCAGATTACTTTCAGCCACATCTTTTTGAGTTTATCTCTTGCTCTTTTCAGTCATGCTATTTGAACTAATTCGCACCTGTTAACATGTGTTATACTCGGTCGTCGTCACACATGGCCAGCCCACTTTAGTCTAGTCTATCTCATTTTATCCCTTATTGGTGCCACGATTAAATTCTCTTGAATA